GGCGTCCACGTGGCTTAAATTTGGCGGCTCTCTTTCTCTCCATCTCTCCTTCTCTCTGTTCTCTCCCGTATGACTGTACTTTCTGTCGCGTGCTACGACATTTTTATCTCTCTCGTAATTATTTTTTCCTATTCCTTTTCTTTCCGTCCAAAAACGTGTTTTCCCTAACTTTCGTCCCTAACCTCAGATTTTTACCTAATTTCGACCCTATTTTTCTTCTGGTGGGTTTTTATGCCACGAAGGATTAAAATGTCCTTACGTTATCCTGTCTAGTCCCTGCTCGAGCGCCATCTGTAAGGATGCTAATCACGGGCCAGGATAAATACTCAGTCTATCCAGGGTCCCCTACAGAAATAATTTATATTTACGGAGACAGACAGGACAAGGAGGCGGGTTCCCTAATTAGGCGGGGTTCGAGGGGGGAAGGTTTGGGTTAGTTTGGGTTGCGTGCCGTGGTTATGCCGTCGGCCCGTCACCCGGGCGGCCGGCGGATCAGGGCAGGCCCAGGGCGACCGATCCCGTCACCCGTGGATCGGCTTATCCGGCCCCGTCAACCGGGTGCCGGAGCCCTGTTAGGGGGCGGAGGGTTACGAGCCGTCGATCCCGTCACCCGGGAGTCGACTTGCCAGCCCCGTCACCCGGGTGCTGGTGCTCAAGGAAAGGATGTAGTGAGCGACTGATCCCGTCACCCGTGGATCAGTATGCCGGCTCCGTCACCCGACGGCCGGTGCTCAGACTACGAAGGAGGGGATGGTGAGCGACCGATCCCGTCACCCGTGGATCGGTGCTCCTAAATACCGGGTATGAGCGACTGCCCCCGTCACCCGGGGGTCAGCGTGCCGGCCCCGTCACCCGACGGCCGGTGCTCGAACTACGAGGGAGGGGGGTTTTGAGCGACCGATCCCGTCATCCGTGGATCGGTGCTCCTAAGTACAGGTTATGAGCGGCTGCCCCCGTCACCCGGGGGTCAGCATGCTGGCCCCGTCACCCGACGGCCGGTGCTCAAAGGCATGGAGGGGAGAGGGGAAGGAGGACTTGGGAGAGAGAAGACTATGGTTAATTGTGGTTTTCTTACAACTTTATTCATAATTTCTTAATGCCTGAGGGTCCCTAGTTCCCTGCGCACGTGCTGGCCACCCCGTAGGGCTGGCCCGCGGCCGGCTCACCCGTCTTATCGGAGGGACTCCATGTCCACGTGTCCTTTTATCCTTGTTGTCATCCGCTCACGTCCGTTCACTTTGATGGTCGAAAACTAACTCCTCGATCGGCGAACAGCGAAGGCTGTTCGAAGCCCTCGCTGCTGCCGTCGACCGCGGCAGCGGCCCTTACGCTGCTTCCGTGCAGACTATCGGCGTCCTTTTTCGTCTGCCGCCTCCCGCACCCGCGTCTCTTTACGCGATCGTGCGTTCCTCTTCCTTTTCGCGTCTCTCCGGACCCGGCCGTCGGTTCTACCGAGAGCGCAAGTTTGGAGAGATGGAGATGTTGCTGGCGTGGTTGTGGATGTTGCTGATGTGGATGTTGCTGACTTGGATGTTGCTGACGTGGATGTTGCTGATGTGCGTGTTGCTGATGTGCGTGTTGCTGATGTGCGTGTTGCTGATGTGGTTTTGCGTGTTGCTGATGTGATTTTACTAGCTCCTAACTCTTATCTTATAATACTATTTCTAACTTATATGTACATACGGTAGGGGGGAGGCCCTTGTGAGGGTTACCTCACAATTTGAACAATAGTTTACAGTTTTTGATCTAAAAATTTCGAATTTTCCTGGTGATATTATAACATTAAATCCAGGGGACAGTACTTCTCGACCAATAATAATGTCATTCTTCAAATACTCATTATCCAAAACATGAAACAAAACTTCAATACAATGTTAATTAATTTTTACGTTACTAAGTATTTGCAATGTGCTACATATGCCGCCACTACCAATACCCTTCAACATCACTACATTGTTAATTCTTTTACCAACTAATTTGTCACTTATCTTTTGTTTTATTAATGAACATTCCGCTCCAGAGTCGAACGTTGTTATAAACGTCTCACCTCGATGAACCATCTCTCCTTTGGGCTCAACAACTTCGCAGAGTTCCACTCTTTTCATCTGGTGTGTATCCTTGACCTTGTCCACTCTGGGCTTACTGCAATGTGTTGAAATATGACCCAGTTCGCCACACTTAAAGCAAGTTACATTCGCTTTTTGATGGTGGCCAGTTCCACTCCTGCCGCTACTGTTTGTAGCATAAGACGAAGGATGATTTTGCTGCTGTTTAGCTCGACATTCCATCACCTTGTGGCCTAATTTTCCACAGAAATGACATTTTATTGTTGAGAGTTTCGAACGCTTTATGTCAGGTGACGATATTTCCTCTTGTAAATTTTTCTTTCTCTTGTTGAACGCGAATGCTTTAAGCTCGGTTTGCAATTCATTTCTGGTGCGCATATTTGAAGTAAAGGTTAGACGCTGCAATCTGTTATCAACATGAGCCATTTTCGCAAGCGTCACAGAAACTGCAATTTCCTCTACGTTCATGTCCCTCCATTTCGTGATAAGTGACGTCACCATACGACTAGCATAATTGGAGAGGCATTCACCATCGGTCGGACAATTAGCTAACATTGACAGAAACATGGCTGCTGGCGTTTCTACCATGCCAAAACGCTGCATGAAAAGTTCTTTAAATTCGTCCCAAGTTATCTCAGGATAACATATTTGCGGAAGCCACTGTGACGCACTCCCTTCCAACGATGCACTCAAGGCCATTACCAACTCGCTGCCTTTTATAGTATTTTCCGCGAGAATTATATTTACGGTTGAACACCACGCGGACGCGTCAGCACCATCAAGGTCTGCGTTGAATTTTGGAAGCGCAATTGTTTTTTTATTTTTTGTTTCAGGCGTCGCCGATTGAACAGCTTTAATAAGCTCGAGCAAGTTTTTATTTTGCATTTCCATCAAAATTCGCCATGGTCCATCTGAAATATTAGGTAGCGAGCCAGATCCCACTTCTGATGTTGCAGCCACGTTGTTTTCCGACATCGTATTAGCACAGCGAGTTTCGGTTTTGGACGCACGACAGTCTATAAGCAACTGCCCGAGTCGTCCCTTCTTATTTCTATCCTTACCACCGAACCACACTCGGCGACAGCGACACGCCGCTGTCGCCCTGCTAAAACGTTCCGTCTCAAAGCGACAACATGCAACATTACCATATATGGTAACATCAGTTTAATGATGAAATTAACCTTCTTGTGAAATTCCCGAGAACGGTATACCCATACACTCATACCAACATCCACACACTCTTAGTGTGCGCCGACATATATAAGCTTAATGTTGTATGCCGTTATAATATTCTAAGTATGTTATGTTGTATTCTATTGTGTGTATACCCGAACGCACAGTGGGCGATTTGGTCTCGCTAGCGGCATTTAATTCAAATTTCAACTTTCAAAAAGCGATGATTTTTTTTCACAATTCGATAATAGATACTTTGATTAGATTTATCCAAGCATTTTAAGAGCTCTACGATGAGCTGATCATCAGCTGTGAACGGACAAACACAGAAAATGATTTTGCAAAGAACTTTACAAAATTTTACCTGTTTGCGCGCATCGAATTCAAGTTCCTCGGAAATTTACAATTTTTAGTGAATTTATTAAAAGTTTGGTTTTTTATTAATTTCAAGGTATGCATTACAAAAAAATTTATGTTTGTGACTGGTCTATAAATGTGTAGCTCATAAAACGTACTGGCAATTCAGTGTATTAACAACGAGCCCGGATTAGCGTACACCTGTCTTTCGTGGAGAAGAACTTACCTGATTCAAGTGGATTCAGTCTAACTCTTTTATTAGCCGAAAGTGTGAATCAGTGGCGTCCAATGTGTGTAATATGAACTGCTAGTACCTGCTAGCCTTCAAACTATGGTACTTTTAAGGCACAATGTCAGTAGCAAAAAGGGATCTTTTTTAGTATATTTTAGTATTTTTACTATGCCGCCGTCTGATTCCGATGATTCTGAATAAAATTCTAGCCATTTTTAAATTATGTTTGTTTATGGAATATATTAATTGAAGTTTAAAAAACATAAAAATAAATCAAAATTTAAAATTAAAAAATATATTTTTTTTAAATTAAAAAAAAAAAAAAAAAAAGTATTAAAAAAAAAACTTTTTTTAAACTTAAAAAATTGTATGATTTTTCTTTGATCGGTGAAAAAAAACCGACTGAAGATATCTATTTTAGTTTAGAAGTTATTAATTAAATGCCGCTAGCGAGACCAAATCGCCCACTGTGGAACGGCTTGAAATGCAACTCTGAAAATGTGAGAGCAAAGAGCGATAATGAGGAAGGAGTTAGTTCTGATCAAGCAAGCAAAGAGTGCAGACGCGAAAACAAAAGATTGTGAAATAAGCTAATTATATTGGTTTAACAAATAAAATAAATAAAAACAATTAATAAAGACTATTGTTGGCTGATTTCAGCCCTTTATTTAATTTAAAAATAAGCAAGTCAAATAAGAAGAAATTAATTGAAAATGAAATGTAATGAAGTATGTTATTAGAAAATAAGTATAAGAGAAAATGAAGTACAAACACTGAATGTGGATCGCGTTAGCTTTAAGCGGGAAGAAGGAAAAGAAGTAGGAGACGAAATAAATGAAGCCAGTCTCGTTTAGATTCTGATCGTTTCGCACGCACCCGCTATAAGTTTGTCTATCCGCCGTATACTGTATATAAATTCATATAATAAACTTTGTCATATTTCCCGTGTTGAATTCGTGTCATTTGTTATTAAATTTGGCAGTGTTAAATATTCGTCTCACAAAAACTATTGTGAATCTTCATGGCGCCCGAGCAGAGACAAATTTAGCCAAATTTAAACAATTTCAAGTGAACAGTGGCAACAAATTTAAAACAGTGTTTTGGTTTCTTATTTAACAAATAAAGTTAATATTTGTTAAATAAAATCAGCAAACGGTGACGTGCAAATAAATACATATATACGTACGTAACGGAAAAAGTGGACAAGTGAAGTGCAATACATAACGCACACAAACACACATACATACAGAAATCGGTGGACAAGCGGTAGATTAAAGCGAAACAAAAAGAGCGGGAATTAACCCTAGAAACCCAAATTAAAATCCTACAAAATTAATTAAACCGCGTCGGCCGGAAAAAATAATTTAAAAACAACAAATAATTTTGGAATGGATAAGCAGCTGGTAAAAAGTGTTATCTCACTTGCAGGTACTCTGTACATTTTTTTGATTATTTAAAATTCGTTTATTACAAGCATATATACATACCTACATATAAATTATTTGGTGCTGAATAAACAATTTTTCGAATTAATGCAAACAAACTTTAGTTAAAATATTGTTCGTGGCTAACATACATATTTTAAAGTGGCGTTTACTAACTACAGTACCTCAAATAAATTTCGCCTCAGCTGGTACTTATTATATATATAAAGAAAAGTGCTCTTCTACATTTCCTCAGCTTTAATTTGTGAATTCCCAAGAACAGTTGCTCAGTTAATTTTTATTCACTCTCCCATAAAATACTTGGTGAATTGTGTGAAAATAACTTGTGAGGCATTATAAATTATTTAGTGTCCAGTTATTAAAAATTAAAAGTGGCTTTTTTTGAATCTATATTTAAAAAGGAAAATATTGAAATGGCTCCTCCAGCATCAGGGTTCAATGATCTGGAATCATTGCTCAAACGACGAGACAATTTAGTAGCTAGCATTACGCGCATAAAAATATCTATTGAGAAAAACTTAATCTCAAAAGACCAGTGTGAGCTCGAATGTCGTCTGGAAATGTTAGGAAAATATGTTGAAGATGCATTAACGATTCAAAATAAAATCGAATTAAAAGATGACGAGGACGATTATAGAATGGAATTGGAAGAATTGTGCGTAATAACGAAGGCAAAATTAAAGTCGCTGTTACCACGCGCTACGAACAGTGTCACAGAACAAAGTAGCACAACAGCGCCTTCTCATTGTAGACTTCCAAAAATGTCTCTTCCAAAATTCGATGGAAAATATTCCGAATTTAAAAATTTTATTGGGCTATTTAATAGTTTGGTACACAATAATAGTTCTCTACCAGACATCGAAAAGTTTAACCACCTCATATCATGCTTATCTGGAGCTGCATTAGGAACAGTTAAAGCATTCCAAATGTCAGAGGAAAATTACCCTAAAGCTTTAGAAAGTCTCAAACGCGTGTATGATAACGATTGCCTTATATTTTTTGATAATATCGCGACATTGTTCGATTTAACTCGGGTCTCTCAACCTTCAGCAGCTGCTTTGAGGGAACTTATTGATACAGCATCAGCGGTTTATGACTCTCTCTTGTCATTAGGAAATCATGAAGACATCACAAATGCTATTTTTATCCACTTAGTGCTGTCGAAAGTTGACGGTAAGACTCGCTCGAAATGGGAAGAACAGCTTGACTACTCAAAGCTGCCTAAGTGGAGTGATTGTCAATCGGTATTAAATCGAAGATTTCAGCAGTTGTCTGGAGAAGAAGGTAGTAAGTTTAAGCAAAATAAACCAAATCAAGACCGCAGGGCTGACACGAGTAAAAATGTTAAGCATTCTTTTAACTGCGCTGCTGAAAAACGAGACTTACGCAGTTCTAGTTGTCAATTTTGCAATTCTGGAGAACATGAGATAACAGGTTGTCAGCCATATGCAGCTCTTTCGGTTCAGCAACGATTTGAATTTGCAAAAAGTGTTCCCCTTTGTATAAATTGCTTGAAAAGAGGTCATACAGTTTCAAAATGTAAAGTTCCAAAATGTAGGATATGCGGAAAAGGGCATAATGCATTATTGCATAAGTTTTCATCGTCAAGTACTCAGCAATCATCTCAATTAGTGCAAGGAAGCTCATCTACTTCGCATGCTATGCATGCCACAGTACCAGATAAGGTAATACTTGCTACTGCAGTTGTACATGTCAAACGCCAAGATGGACAGTACATTCTAGCTAGAGCCCTACTAGATTCAGGGTCGCAAATAAATTTTGTGACTGAGGAGCTCGCTAGTAATCTGCATATAAAGAAAGATGATGCGAATGTGAACTTACTTGGTATCGGTCAACAGCATACTGAAGTTAAGAAAAGCATTCACACAGCTATAAAATCTAGGTTTAATAGCAATGACTACATGGCAAATTTCTGCATACTCAAAACAATTTCAGGATATCAGCCAAATCAAGCAATAGAAATTCAGGGCTGGGATATACCATCAAATATTAACTTGGCAGACCCGCAGTTCTATAAGCCACAAAGGGTAGACATGCTAATAGGAGCAGAATCGTTTTTCGAGTTAATGGCGGTTGGACAAATTAAGAAAAGCCCTGAGCATCCCACACTGCAAAAAACCTTGTTAGGATGGATTGTGTCTGGACGATATCGGTGTCCCAAAACACCAGTTGGGCCAATTGTTAACAGTTTTAAATGTCAGGAAGAAAGTTTAAGTAGCATAAACGACACACTACAAAAGTTTTGGGATTTAGAAGAGATGCCTTTAAGAAATTGCCAAGCACGTTACACAGAGGAACAACAAATGTGTGAGAAATCTTTTATTGAAAATGTCCAAATTTTGTCAGATGGAAGATTTGAAGTTAAACTTCCATTTAAAAAAGAACCTAGTTCCTTAGGATCCTCATTTGAAGTTGCCAAACGTAGATTTTTTTTCATTGGAACGAAGATTATTACGAGACTCGAATTTAAAGAAAATGTATATTGATTTTATGGAGGAATATCTCGCTTTGGGGCATATGTCACCAATTGATTATGGGGTCCCGACTCCTCCACACTATTTCATTCCGCATCAGTGTGTAGTGCGCCCTCAAAGTACAACTACTAAGCTTAGAGTTGTCTTTGATGCTTCATGTCGTACAACTACACAAGTTGCGTTAAATGACATATTGATGGTAGGCCCAACCATTCAAGAGGAGCTGTTTTCCACTTTGTTGCGATTTCGCTTCCATAAATACGCATTAACTGCGGACATTACGAAGATGTATCGCCAAATAAGCATACATGAAGATGACCGGATTTACCAGCTCATAGTGTGGAGAAGAAGTCCTTCTGAGCCATTGCAAATGTGTCGCCTCAACACGGTTACTTATGGAACCGCGTCTGCACCATTTTTGGCCATAAGATGTTTGATGCGGCTAGCTGAGATGCAAAGGTCGTCTAACCCAGCAGCAGCAGCAGTGATTCAGAAGGATTTCTATGTCGACGACTTGTTAACTGGTGCTGGAAGTATACAGGATTTAAAAACGATACAACGGGATGTAATATCAATCCTGCATGGGGCCGGGATGAAGCTCGCCAAATGGTATTCCAATTGTGCGGAGCTATGTACTTCCGAGAGCACAGACAAGTCGTTGGCAGTAGCCGAATCGGATCCAACAAAAACTTTAGGAATAAGATGGTTTCCCAAAGAAGATGAATTTCATTTCCAGTTAGAGGATTCATTTCAAGATCTTCGTGCTACAAAACGCAATATTTTGTCTGTGTCAGCTAGGTTATTTGATCCCCTTGGTCTTCTATGTCCCTTAGTGACAAAAGTTAAAATTCTACTGCAGGAGCTATGGATGGAAAAGTTAGATTGGGATGAGTCGGTACCACTGAGGTTACATACAAGCTGGGAGGAATTTAAAGTTAATTTGTTGCACCTCCATCAGTTAAGGATTCCCAGATATTTAAAAACTTCACTATCTCAACCAATTCAACTGCACGTATTCGCCGATGCCTCAATTAAAGCTTATGGTGCTTGTATATATGTTCGTACAAGCACAGCTGATGGAATTAAAGCCATGTTGTTAACGGCAAAATCCAAGGTAGCCCCTTTAAAAACAAGGTCACTTCCCCGTCTTGAACTTTGTGCGGCTCATGTTGCAGCTGATCTGTTGAATAAAATCAGGCCTATAGTATCAAGCCCAATCGAAAAAGTAACTTTCTGGTCGGATTCGGAAATAGTCCTTCATTGGGTGAAGACTCATCCGTCGAGTTTATCAGTTTTCGTAGGAAACCGAATAGCTGAGATTCAGGATTGGAGCAAAGGCTCAATTTGGCGTCATGTTCCGACAAAGCAAAATCCGGCAGACATTGTATCGAGAGGACTCAAGAATCTTATGTGAACTCAAGGATCTTATGTGGTTCAACGGTCCAACATTTTTAACTGAACCAGAAGATAAATGGCCTATTAATAGTCATTTTGAACTATCGCAAGGTATGCAAGAGTTGGAAATTAGAAAATCAGCTCTTGTCTGTGCAGAACCACGCATGCAAAGTGATCTTTTAGAATACATAGAAAAACAGTCGTCATACATTAAGACAGTAAGGGTCATTGGATATGTACTTCGTTATATAAGAGGATGTCGAAAAGCGGCTCGTGAGGCGAATATACTGCTCACAGCAGCTGAGCTGAAAATGGCATTTGACAAAATTATTCAGGTTGTGCAGGACTTCGAGTATGCAGAGGTCATTGATAAAATTCGCAAGAAGTCATTACTCGCGCCAAATTTGCAGAAGTTGTGCCCGTTTTTGCAAGAAGTCAAGCTAGAAAAGTTGACATTTAGCTTGGTGAGAGTCGGCGGGCGAATGTTGCAAGCCGATATTCCATTTGACGCGAAATTTCCGTGCTTACTCAGCAAACAGTCGCAGTTCTTAAAGAATTACGTTGAACATTTGCACAGAAGGAATTTCCATGTCGGCGCGCAAGCCTTAGGCAGTCTTCTCAATGAGCGGATATGGGTGGTTAATGCTCGGGAGATATGTAAAAAAGTGGTTCGCCAATGTTTGCACTGCTTTCGATACAAACCGAAGCTGCTTTCACAAATAATGGGGCAGTTGCCTGCTGATAGACTAAGATCAGCTCGTCCATTTACAGTGTGTGGAGTAGATTTTTGTGGGCCAATCATGACCACTTTGAAGATCCGAGGGAAGCAACCATATAAGTCCTATGTCGCTGTATTTGTGTGTTTTGCGTCCAAAGCTGTTCATCTTGAACTTGTTAGCGACTTGTCAACTGATACCTTTTTATCATGTTTCCAAAGGTTTGTCGGCCGGAGAGGACTTCCGAAGACGGTGCACTGCGACAACGCCACGAATTTCGTGGGCGCGAGCAATCGCATGAAGGAGTTCGGCGAGAGGCTGAAAGCAGAATTGACCGGCGTCCAACGCTACGCTTCCGAAGAAGGAGTCTCCTTTGCATTCATACCGCCCAGGGCTCCTCACTTCGGAGGCCTATGGGAGGGCGCTGTGAAGTCTGCGAAAGGCCTACTCCTACGGACGGCAGGTCGCGCTTTGCTCACCGCGGACGAGTTAACGACGTTCCTCGTTGGCGTGGAGGCAACCCTCAATTCAAGGCCAATCGGCCCACTCAGCCAGGACCCCAACGATGGACAAGCGCTGACGCCAGCGCACCTGCTGATCGGCGGCCCGCTGAAGGCCCCACCGGAGGAGGAGGCGCCCGAAAAATAAGTTGCTTGCGTCGATGGCAGCTTGTATGCTCGCTCAAGCAAGAGTTCTGGCGGAAGTGGTCGACGAGTTATCGTCGGAGCCTGCTGGTTCGCTCGAAGTGGACCAAGGAGTACCCGGACGTCAGGGTGGGCCAATTGGTGCTCGTGGCCGAGGACAACTGCCCGCCACAGAGGTGGCTGGTGGGTCGGATAACCGCCGTACACGCAGGGGTGGACGGAAAGGTCAGGGTCGTCGACCTGAAAACCACCAACGGCGATATTAAAAGGGCCATCCACAAATTGGCACCCCTGCCCATCGAATGAAGTAGAGGAGGTGCTCAACGCGGGCGGTGTTGGCTGATTTCAGCCCTTTATTTAATTTAAAAATAAGCAAGTCAAATAAGAAGAAATTAATTGAAAATGAAATGTAATGAAGTATGTAATTAGAAAATAAGTATAAGAGAAAATGAAGTACAAACGCTGAATGTGGATCGCGTTAGCTTTAAGCGGGAAGAAGGAAAAGAAGTAGGAGACGAAATAAATGAAGCCAGTCTCGTTTAGATTCTGATCGTTTCGCACGCACCCGCTATAAGTTTGTCTATCCGCCGTATACTGTATATAAATTCATATAATAAACTTTGTCATATTTCCCGTGTTGAATTCGTGTCATTTGTTATTAAATTTGGCAGTGTTAAATATTCGTCTCACAAAAACTATTGTGAATCTTCAACTATAATAAAAACGTTTAATAACTACATTTGTACCCTACAAAGCCTTGGAAAACTTTCAGGCGGGAATTTTTTGAATTTTTCTTGCCCCCACGTTGCAACCGACGGGCCGTTTAAGATCTGCGTTGTGGAACTCAGTCTGATGATAAAACGCTCGAAATACTCATTCGAAAAGATCTACGAGAACCTGTTGCCGAAATATCAACTGTTCATACAACAACACGAGCTCTCCTCACTGGAGGAGCAGACCCAATCGAAAACGCTTGGGATCGGGACCCCGCTCGATAAGTGGGCCTGATTCCAACCACAAGTAAGAATTTCGGTAGGGAGAGCAACTCTTAGCCTCGAAACGGTCGCAAACTAGCTTGACTCGGAACTACCAGGGAGGTCCGTACTCCGATATCTCTGGCAGACGGAGGCTACAGGCACAATTTGGTCTGAAAAACTTATCAGTCTGAAACAACTCTAATCTGCATACGAGTATGTCTACAGCTAGCCTCCCGAACCGAGGAAAATTACTCGGCTACAGAGAAGGAGCTCACGGATCAAATCGCGCTCAAGTTGTTGAACAACACCACGGGATGGAAAGCACGATGGAAGGGCCTTCCGACAACCAGTGGAAACGCTTCAATTACTTTCAGATCGAAGGACACATTGCAAACGGCATGACATGCCAGCAAACATGCTTATCCGCCACCCTCCGAAGCCATTGATGATGGTCGATCGTGACTTCTCTGGACCCCTCCCTCGGACTCGATGTGGAAACACCATGCTGCTCGTGTGCATAGACGTCTTTTCCAAATGAGACGAGAATATCATTTTAAAAAAAGACCACGACGACTCAGCTGGATTTCGGATTCCGGGAATGGATTCTTCGGAGAGCCCAGGACTCTGATATGCCGCAGTTTCAGGAATTTCCCGCCGTGATGCAGGGTAGGGAACCCCGAAAACCCTTTTTGAAGCAGTCGCACCGGATCTACACTCCTCGCCGTTGGATCCCAGCATCGCAGTCAGAGGCGAACCTCCATCCAGGAGCAGGCTCGACGGAGGGTGCGCTACCTCCTTCTTTGCATTCCAATGATTACTAATCTATCGCTACCATTTTGTATTTTGTAAGTTAAGCTACGAAGGCCATTTATTGAATCGAATTAAGTTTAAAAGCCTAAGCCAATGTTTAAATATTCGCGTGCACCTGGGCTAAAGAACCTCCAGTATTAACCAACAAAACGATCAACAGCTGATCAAACTCAGGGGTCATAACCATGGTGGGGTTGAAAATGAAGGGCAAGAAGCACGGCTTCTTTCTCAAACAGCAGCCAAGGTGAGCAGTACTAAGAATTCTGCGCGGAAAGTGGAAAAACGTCGAGCGAACTTAGGCAAATGATAGTAACAAGCAGAGTCTGTGTGCAACGGCGGGATAGAAAATAAATGTAAAGATCTAGAATAGGAAATAAATCAAAGTGATAGAAAAATTATGTAGTAGTAAGTTAGTCCTAAGCAACACTGTGCAATATTAGATTTAAGTATTATACAACACTATGCTCCCTCTCACGAGAGAGCATGAAGGAAGAGGATCTTGAATAAAGAGGCAGTTCAAGTTTGGCTGCGAATGAAACATCACATGTGTGTGCGCTTACTAAAATTCAGAAGTGGTCCGGATACTTCAAGCACTTAACGGTTCATTCTAGACACCCAAAAGTTTTAAAATGGACAAGCCACTTGAACTAAATAATTTTTCGATACGCGAGCTAAAAGCGTGGTGTAATAACCTTGGAGTCTCATCTAAAGGAAATAAAACTGAACTCTTAACAAGAATTATGGAGATTCCGCAAAATGAACGCGGCTTGTGTCCAGAGTAAGGCACACCGCTTAAAAGTTCACCAAAAAGTATTGAGCCTAATAAAAGTATTGAGAAAAGTAATGAAAATGATTGTGAAGTTGTAAAAAGTAATGCAAATGAACTAAATGTGTCGATTGAGAAAAGTAAAGACCTTGAAAAAAGTGAAGCAACTGAAATGCAAAAAGTAGCCGAAAATGTAAGCGACTGCGACGGCGCCATAGGCTGTCGCGACAGTTGTGAAATTCCGATGAGCAGCCGCGCAGCTGCAAAAATTTATGTAGCAGAATATGTAGGCAGCGCAGCCGCGTTGCCCAGCGACGAAGTAGAGGAGAACGAAAATGAAAAAGTACCGTTTGACGAACATGAGGCAAAATGCAGTACGGTGGCCTCTGGCTACGGTATACAGTCAAATAAAGATGATACGTCATGTTTAGAGCTTAATGTATTAAAACTACAATGCGAAAATGCGGAGCTACGCAATAAATGTATGGTGCCTTTTGAGACAATTAAAGAGCTGATACCAGAATTTGATGGCAGTGGAGACGTTAACGAGTGGTTACTGCGGATGTCCAGCGTGTGCAACATATTTAAAATAGGCAGCGAAATAGAACGCCAGTTACTGTGTGCTCGCCTCAAGGGCAAAGCATTGTTGTGGTTTTTGATGGTCCAGTATTTAATAGACGGCATACCAGATGAGCAACTACGTAACCAGGCAAAACTGCAATGTTTTGCTTCATCAGCTGATGTTTTACGTGCATTTCAATATCTACAAAGGCCAAGGCTGCCCATGAGAGAGCAGCGCAAATTCAAAAAGTCGGCCCCGGACCAGCGGGCAGATAGTGCATCGACCCCGGACCAGAGGGTTGATGGAAAGGTGGCCCCGGACCAGCGGGTCATAAGATGTTTCAACTGTAATATCAAAGGTCATATCGCGGCAGAGTGCCGTAAGCCAGTTCGTGCGGATTGGGCCTGCTACGTCTGAAATGTGTTGGGTCACCAGGCTTGGCAGTGGTCCCTGAATAAGAAAACCAAAGGAGGAGCGAACAACGAATATGTAAGAATAATAAATGTAAAATTTGGTAAGATTAATAAGAAATATTTCCCCATAGAATGTCTCTTAGACTCCGGCAGTCCGATAACAATTTTAAAGTGATCAGCTGTTCCAAAAAATGAAAAAATTTTTGATTATGTTTCTGATAAAAAAGACGTTGGCATCAACGGAAGCGAATTAATTACAATTGGAAAAATATTTTGTTTTGTTTCTATATTTAATAAAGAAGTTGGCATTGAAGCTATTGTTGTCACTGACGAGTCTACTGGGTATTCAATGGTTTTGGGCCGAGATTTTCTATCCGCTAGTAAAATAAAAATGATTGTTTTAAGCGATGTAAATGGAAATGTAACGGAAAATTTAAATGATATTGAAAAAGTAGAAAACGAAATCCGTAAAGAAACAAGTAAAGAAATAGGTAAAGGAATAAATGGAAGAATAAGTAAACAAGTAAATAAAGGTATAGGTAAAGAAATAAGGAAAGAAATTAATAATGAAACGGCAATAAGTGTAGGCACGAATATAAATTTAAATCGAAACAAACCAACAGTAGATAAAAATAATTTTGAAGCATTTTTACTAGCAATGGATGTAATAGAAAATGCTGAAGTTTCGTATACGTTAGGAAAACAAATAAGTTACAAAGTAAAGAAAATGTTTGAAGATATGTTTGATCAAATGTATATAAAGGCGATTCGCCCTGCTTAACCAAATGTTAAATGTGAAATGAAAATAAGAATTAGTGATGACAAACCTTTTAGTTGTTCTTCTAGGAGATTGTCTTTCGCCGAAAAAACAGCATTGCAAAAAATTTTAGATGAAAGTTTGGCCTTAGGCTATATTCGGCCTAGTGATTCTGAGTACGTATCTCCACCTTTGTTGGTACCGAAAAAGTCAGGTGAATTTAAACTGTGCTTTTTTTTTTTTTTTTTTTTTTTTTTTAAAATAACAAATAAGTTTTATTTACGTCGATCAGCCAACCTAATGGCTATAATACGTAGAGCATAACAAAGAACAGATAACATGAAAAACAATAACAGGAGATGTACAGTAACAATTACTGTTTCAGGACTCGGGAAACCATGCGTCCTCTTGAATTTAGACTGTGCGTAAATTATAAACGTTTAAATAAAGTAACTGCTAAAGACAATTATCCTATACCGTTGATTGATGACCTATTAGAACGTATGGTAGGAAAGAAAGTTTTTACTAAGTTAGATTTGAAAAATGGGTTTTATCATGTTTTCATGGATAATGATTCGATCAAATATACATCATTTGTAACGCCTCTAGGCGAAGCCTCTAGGTTCGAATTTCTTAGAATGCCGTTCGGGCTAAAAAATGGCCCCTCAACTTTTCAAAGATATATTAATAAAATTTTTGCTGATATGGTTAGGGATGGGAGATTGTCGATTTACTTTGATGATTTAATGATAGCGACAGAAAACGAAGTAAAGCATCTAGAAGTATTAAAAGAAGTTTTTAAGAGAGTGACGGAAAATAGGCTTGAGCTTCGGCTGGATAAATGTGAATTTTTTCAGTCAACAATAAAGTATTTTGGATATGTAATAACAGAGAAAGGAATAAAAGCTGATGAAAAAGGTATTGAGGCCATTACAAATTTTCCTACACCCTCTAATGCTCATGAAGTACAAAGTTTTGTTGGTCTGTGTTCCTATTTCAGAAGATTTGTCAAAGATTTCTCGCTATAAGCAAAACCGCTATACGATTTAACCAGGAAAGATAAAAAGTTTATATTTGGAGAGGCAGAGTTTGAGTCTTTTAACACACTTAAACAGAAAATGATAGAGTCACCAGTTCTCGCATTGTATGACCCAAAGGCGAAACGGAACTGCATTGCGATTCAAGTTCTTTAGGGTATGGCGCAGTTCTTATGCAGAAGAAAGCGGACAATAGGTTTCACCCTATATTTTATTTTTCTAAGAGGACTACAGAGGTTGATTCGAGGTATCACAGCTTTGAGCTGGATACGTTAGCTATTATAAACGCTTTGAAAAGGTTTCGTGTATATCTACAAGGGTTAAGATTTAAAATCGTAACAGACTGTAATTCGCTAGCTCTTACGCTCAATAAAGAAGAAATAAATCCGAGAATAACTAGGTGGGTACTTGAACTTTCGAATTATGACTACGATCTTGAACATAGAGCGGGTAAGAGAATGACGCATGTTGATGCACTCAGTAGGAATCATAATATAGTAGTTATAGAAGAAAATACGTTTGAAGAACACCTGATAATTTGCCAAGGTAGAGATGAAAAGTTAAAGAAAATTAAAGATATGTTGGTAGAAAAAGAAGATAGCATCTACGAAATGAGAAATGGAGTAGTTTACAAGAAAAACAAGAAAGGAAGCTAGCTTCGGGAAGCCGAAGTTTATATACCCTTGCAGTCATTAAATATGTCAAACAAAATACATAAAGGCTAACAACATCGAATCTATGACGATTTTTCTATTATTTATCATATTGTTCATATGACAGCTATATGATATAGTCGTCCGATTTTGATAAAATTTAATACGTAACTCAAGACTCATTAGAAAACTCTATATTCCAAAAATCATGATTCTGTGATGAAAAACAACGAGGTTATAATTTTATTTCCGTTATTTCTATATAGATTTTTCGATCTTTCCTATGGCAGCTATATGATATAGTACTCCGATTCTTATGAAATTTTTTTCTCGATTTAAGAGTATTTCATAAACTTGATGTTCCAAAAATCATGCTCGTGGCATTAAAAACAACGACATTATAATTTTTTTTCCATTATTTATATAAATATTTTCTGATCTCTCCTATGGCAGCTATATGATAGAGTTATCCGATTTTGATAAAATGTAATACGAAATTCAAAAGCAGTTAGAAAACGCCATCTGGAAGAAATCAAGTCGATCTGATCAAAAACAACGGAGTAAGAATTTTTTATTTCATTCTCTTGTATGGGAGCTATCCGATATAGTCGGCCGATCCGGCTCGTTCCGACCTATATACTGCGTGCAACAACTACACAACTTTTGGGAAAGTTTCAGCGAGATAGCTTTAAAACTGAGAGACTAGTTTACATAGAAACCGACAGGAGGACAGACGGACAGACGGACAGACAGACAGACGGACAGACGTACTGACGGATTTGGATTCTGATCGTGATGCTGATCAAGAATGTATATACTTTATGGGGTCTGAGGTGTCTCCTTCACTGCGTTGCAAACTTCTGACTGAAATTATAATACCCTTTTGCTCTGCAAGGGTATAATAAGGATAGATTATTGTTTTGTGTGCCAGAAAGTATGGAAGATAACGTTATGTACAAGTACCATGATGAAACTGGACACGTAGGCACTATAAAAATATAAGAAAAAAGGTTGACGCATCAAAACCTTTTTTAAATGTATAGCATTTTCAGCAAAAGTCGGAAAAACTGAGGGATTTTTACATTCGATTCCAAAGGGATCCAAACCATTTGATGTAATGCACATTGACCACTACGGTCCAATACAAGGTTTAAGCACGACTTATAAGCATATTTTAGTTGTGATAGACGCATATACAAAGTTCGTGAAATTGTATTCTACAAAAACAACCAACTCAAAGGAAGCTGTTAACGCGCTTACAAGTTATTTTAAATCGTATAGTAGGCCAAGAATAATAGTCTCAGACCGGGACACTTGCTTCACATCAAATGAGTTCAAAGAATTTTTGCAGACTAATAATGTAGAACACATCCTAATAGCTACTGGCTCGCCTCAGGCTAACGGGCAAGTAGAGAGAGTTAATCGAGATTTAGGCCCAATGATTGCTAAAATAAGAAACGTAGAGAAAAATGAAGATTGGCCAAAAGTGTTAGATAGAGTAGAGTATACAATGAACAACACAAAACACAGAAGTATTAATGAATATCCAAGCGTAATGCCTTTCGGTGTGAAACAGTTAGGTAGTGTTATAGATAGTCTGAAAGAAAATGTAGTAGATTTGAAACAAATAGAAGCAAAGAAAAGTTTGGAAGTAATAAGACGTAATGCTGAGATAGCACAGCGTAAAGTACAGGATTATAATAAAAATTATGTTGATTTCAAAAGACAAAAGCCCAAAGTATTTGTTGTAGGTGATTATGTTATGCTCAGAAATTTTAATTCACAACAAGGTGCGTCTAGCAAATTAATCCCCAAGTTTTAAGGACCCTATGCAATCACAAAAGTTTTAGACAATGATAGATATGTAGTAGGAGATGTGGAAGGTTTCCAACAAACTCAGATACCATACTCAGGCATATGGGCAATCCATAATATGAAACCATGGATACAAAATAAAAATGTAAATGAAGATAGTGATGAATTAAATTCAGATGAAGACGAAATTTGTGATGATAATGTAAGCCTTAAAGAAGTAGAGAATGTTGAAGAAGAAAATGATAAATGTAATGAAAATGTAAAAGCAAAAGAAATAAATAACAATAAATGTATAGAAAAAAGGAATGTAAATGTAAATGATAAAAATAAAAACAAAAATAGTAATGTAAGTAAATGTAGTATGGTCACAAGAAGTATGTCCAAGAGTATCAGGAGATTCTCCATGTCAGGATAGCCGAATTGTAGTAGTAAGTTAGTCCTAAGCAACACTGTGCAATATTAGATTTAAGTATTATACAACACTATGCTCCCTCTCACGAGAGAGCATGAAGGAAGAGGATCTTGAATAAAGAGGCAGTTCAAGTTTGGCTGCGAATGAAACATCACATGTGTGTGCGCTTACTAAAATTATAAAAGCGTTTTTTCTTGTTTTGGTGACCGAGTGCAGTGATTTGTGTCGGGCGGTAACCGTTAACGCCAGAGTTGCTTTCTCAGTGCAACGCGGATGCCAAGCTGTCCACAAGAAACACAGGAAAGGATCGCCTCCGGGCACCCTCTCCTCAGTTCATTATACCTGGGTAGATATTTTTGTGTGGACCAGGAACGGTGGTTGCGCAAGAGCTGCTTACTCAGTATAACTTGAATGCCCGACTCCGGCACGGAGCACAGAAACGATATTTTACTGCCAGCCGGATTCCGTGCTGCGTCAGACCCGCTTACTCAGTGAAATTCGATCGTCCGATTGAATGTCAAGTTCCCGGCCCAGTTTTTCTGGCTAGAGAAGTTCCCCGTTTTCCCCAGTTTTAGTCAATAACCCCGATCGGCAGAGGCAAGGGTCACATACATACACACACATACTACACATATATTTTAGGGAGAAAGGCCCCGTCCCAGCTCACTATATACAGTCGACTCTCGTTAATTCGAAACTCGAGGGACTCTTGAAATATTTCGAATTATCGAGTGTTTGAAATATCAAATGGTTCGAAATTTCGATATTTTCGAAAAAACTTTGTTATACTGGCTTGCTTTAAAGCACAATTCTGCTGCTCACACTGCTCAATAACTTTTTTAAAGAGAAAAAGTGCATGAAATACTTTTTCATCACTTTCGTTTTGTAGACATAAGCTTTGTAAGGTATCAAATGAGGATCTTGCTTCCTTAACTTACACCTCTGCCAAAGGTTCTTTATACTTTCTAGGGCTCATAGCTAACACTAACTTTTAATATGCATACCAACGAAAGAGTAACAGTAACTGAATAACTACACAAACCAATTCGTAAGAAGTGTGTGCGTCAAAAACTACATAATCAAAACAAAAATAAAGGCAAGTTTGAACTTGTCGCAAAATTTTTTTCTCTGCAACTTTGAATTGTCGAGTGTTAGACGCTAATGAGTTCGAATTAACGCGTGGTTTTGTTAAATATCAATGATTTTTTCGTTCGAATTACCAAGTGTATGAAAATGTATTGATTTAGTTCGAAATATAAAGAGATTTCGTAGGGACCTCGTGATAACTTTGAATTATAGAGAGGTTCGAATTATCGCAGGTTTGAATTAACGAGAGTCGACTGTATTTGGCTTAACGTGCAGCGACAGAGCTGCTAACTCGGTGCAGCGCGGGTACCTCTGTCTCTTTCTCTATAAAAATCACTCGTCAACTCAGTCCATATTGGTTGCTACTATTTTCTACAAATTTGTAGGTCCCTATCCCTTACTTGGCGTAAACATATTAAGCCCAAGAGAAACCAGCTAAAACTATTAATCTCCATTGGCTTTTACACTTCCAATCCTCATTAAAATTTGAGAACAAACTACCCTACGGTATGCGTCCGGATATACAGAATTCCCCTCCGAGCTCATGATTTCTCGACGAAGCTTTACTAGGCTTTGAGCACTTGCAGACCAGGAAAAAATCAATTGGTTGCGGTTGTGGGCGCTTTGAAGAGCTTTGTTTACTATTTATTAATGTCAAATACATTTGATTGGAACAGGAATCATTATTTGCTTCGTTTTAAGTTTTGGTAGTCCTTTTCATCTTCTTTCGGTCTCTTCAATTTGGTTTTTCTGAAAATGGTAAAAATCCGTTAATTAAGGTCTTCAGGTGGTGAGGATCAAGGCTTAAACATATCTATAAAAACAAGTAGTACACGAAAAAGTAGAAGTGGGAAGAAAAAATAATTGCAAATGTGGTCACATGCTTAAAACGAATTCTCGAAGGCACTTCTATTACAATGTTTTTGTTAATTTTTTAACGTTGCATATAAATAATTTTAAATTGTTTTTATTAAAAAATGGGACAAACATTCCGTCATTAGATAATTTTTGAAAAATTTTTTTTTTTATTTTAAATAATTAAGAATTTAATTTGAATTTTATTTTGTTTGAATATTTTTAATGAACCCTTAATTTAAATATTTAGTTTGGCCAGACCATTTCTTATATTGCTGCCAGATTGAATAGGCACAGGAATACCATTAGTAACTTCCTTAAAAATCCAGAAAGTTATGGAAAAATAAAGCGAAGCGGCAGGCCCACTGAAATCAACGAGCGGTGCAAGAGACAAATTCGGCGTCTAGCAGTTCATGACAACAAGTCTTGCATGGAGATAAAAGGTCAACTGAATCTTGAAGTATCCAAAAGACGTATAAACCAAATTTTAAACCAAAACAAAATGGTTACATATGGTTCACACGACCCTTAACCAAGGCTATTAAAGCGCCACATAACCGCTCGTCTACAATTTGCTGAGAAATACAAATTTTGGTCGGAGGAGTTTAAAAAAGTAATATTTTCGGACGAAAAAAATTTAACTTAGACGGCCCTGACTCTTGTCAAAAGTACTGGCGCGACAAAAGGCAACCACGGCAGGCCATAAACGAAACCACGGTGGAAGATCATTAATGGTTTGGGCCGGATTTGGGTATGCTGGGAAGTCTCCACTTTGTTTTATACCGACTAGAACGAATGCAGAAATTTATATAGACTTTCTGGCAGCTAGAAAAATACCGCTATTGCAATGCACTATGGGAAATTTGGCCGATTTCATGGTATTTAGTCATTTTATCAATGTTTAAATATTCGGGTTTTTTTTATGTAAACATATTAAAAACATATGGCTCCATATGACTCCATATCAAAAATGTTAATTAACAGTGCACTGTTAAGGCTATTCACTGTTAAAGTCAGGTGTTTCAGCCAAAAAGCACGCGCTTGCAAATTCGCATTATTTGTTGGTAACTTTGAAAGTGTGAAACTCGAAAGTGTAACAAGTTATTGATTAAATTTTTAATGGACACCAATCGTACTGGTTTGTATTATGTGTTGTGTGTACTAATATATCGATTTGTCTGTGTTTTACTAATCTTTAGGGATTTTTCTAAGTGTTCTCAAAGGTAATTCTTTTGCAAAAACATTTTACTTTACTTAGGTTTACAAAAAATATATGTCTGTGTATTGGTGTGCGTCCACGTGTAAGTTGTAGAGCTATTAATTCTGAATAAGACGCAATTTGTCTTAATGTGCACAAATCCGCACAATCTGCGTACATTCGTTTTTTGGCAGGTAACTTCGAGTTTTCGAATGCGGAGCTCTTTGAAGTATGGCTCACGGAAACGGACGATTCCAGACAAAAAGAATTAGTTCTTGATTTTTTGTCGAGCAAATTAAATGAAAAAATTGACGTTTTAAAGCATAACAATTATTTAAAAAGGAAAATCAGTTTTTTTGCTTAAATTTAGGTGAAAATTGGAAAAAATGCAACATAAATAAAAAATATTTTGAAAAAATACATAAGAATTGGCTGCAAAGCACAATAAAAATTAATTGCGGTAAATCAAGTGAAATTGAGAAACGACAAATTGGACGCCCAAAATTGTCTTATTCGGCTAAAGGGGAAGAAGCGCAAAGAAAAGAAGCAGCAGCCTTATCGAAAGCTCACGGTAGCAACGTACCCTTGCTAATTAAAACAGCGAGTAAAGCTGCACGATCTCAGGGACTCATAGATCTTGGTGTAGTCCTTAACGTACTTTCGAATAGTCCCGAAATGGCAAGAGATATTAGGCAGATCTTAACAAACACAATAAAACGACCTATTCGAGCATTAAAGGACGAGGCATTAGCAATCTTATTGGATCAAGGCTTAACAAAGGAGCAGTACTGCGCAATTAGAGAGGATGCAAAGAACAGAGATGCCGACATTTACCCTCTATATAAAGATATAGTTCAACAAAAAAAGCTCTGCAGACCTTCTAATATATATATTAGCGAAACTGTAGCTAAGGTGCCTCTACAAGATCTCTTGACCCATACAGCTACTCGAATAGTTATGCTCCAGGAGAACGTGATTAGAAATACATTGAGGCAGCAGGAGGCAGATTTTTTATCAGCTGATTTAATCCTGGGCTATGTGTTTGATGGTAGTACCGGTCAGTCTAACTACAACCAGGCCTATGCTGACAAAAGATCGTTTGATTCTGATTCATCCCTTTTTGCCTCAACCGTAATGCCCCTCCGATTAATTAAAGCTTCGGGATATGTTTTATGGAATAATCGTACTCCACAGTCAATACGATTTTGCCGCCCTCTTAAATTGGAGTTTTTAAAAGAAATAACAGAATCTATCTTAAAAGAGGACCAGCAAATCAAAGAAGAATTTAAAAATCTCCTACCATGCAAAATAATGTTAAACGAAAGGCAGTGTATTTATATAAAATATGAACTTCATTTGACAGTTATAGATGGAAAAGTGCTTAATGCACTAATAAATACAAAATCTTTCCAGGCATGTCCCATAAGTAACGCAACACCAAAAGACTTCCTTGCAAACAAAAACTTTAAGTGTATCGAATTTCTGCCACTTTTGGATAACATAAAATACGGAATAAGTCCACTTCATAGCTGGATAAGGTGTTTCGAATTTGTCCTGCATGCCGGTTACAAGTTAACTGTGAAGAAATGGAGAGCGACAACATCTGCCGACAAAAAATCGATAGCTGATCGGAAAAAACAAATTCAACAATTGTTTTGGGAGAGGCTAAGCTTAAAGGTCGATAAGCCAAAACAAAATGGATCTGGAAATACTAATACTGGAAACACGGCACGGCGAGCATTTAACAACTTTGAAATATTTTCACAAGTTACAGGCATTGACCAAGACATAATTCGGAGCTTGAGAACAATATTAATTTGCTTGTCATGTCAATTGCCGATTGATTTGGAGAAATTCGAACAGTTCTGCTTTAAAACCGGCGAACTTATTGTTAATTGTTATCCATGGTTGCCAATGACGGCAACTGTTCACAAAATTCTTGTCCATTCTAAACAGATAATTGAACATACAATACTTCCAGTCGGTTATTTTGGCAAGGAGGTGTCGGAAGCACGCAACAAAATTTACAAGGCAGATAGACTGCATCATGCTCGGAAGCATAGTAGAGTTCTGAATTTCACCGATGTTTTCAATAGAGCATTAGATACATCAGATCCTGTTATTTCCTCAACAAACCTTACGAAGCGAATTCGAAAGCATAAAACTATGGCCCTTCCAACAGAAGCCTGGATCAATCTTTTGAGGAAACCGAAGATGAAATTGACGTTTTGGGTTTTATATCTGACGAAGAGCTTGAAAATGAAGATAATGTCTAATTTTTTTCAGATAGCAATAATCTTTTTAATTGTATTTTTTTGAATAATTTTGCCTATCACCTTTTCAACTTTTGTATATGAATTAAACTTTTTTTCTCAGAAAGGGAGGGCGGAACCACGCCCATTTTTTCAAAAACTATTTCTAATTTATTCATAACTATAAAAAAAAACAGTTTAATTAAAAAGTTATTAATTAATATTTCGTCGGGAGGGGGGAGCCATGCCAATTTTTCTAAAAACATTTCTATCGGTGTTTATAACAGTAATAAAAAAACCGTTTCGAAAAATCTTACTTAGTTTAAATGAAATCGGCCAAATTCCCCATAGTGCAATGGCCAGCGATCAGCCCGGACCTAAACCCAATAGAAGATCTTCGGGAAATTCTTTCTAATAAAGTTTACAAGAATGATCGCCAGTTCAACACAGTTAATGACCTTAAAAAGGCTTTGATCAAGGAATGGGATCAAATTAATCCGACAACTCTGAAAAACTTAGCAAATTCAATGCCCAATCGGATTAAATATACATTCTGTTACTCCACCCGGGAGCTTAGAGCCTCTACAATTTCTTGTAGAGGATTCATTATCATTGGTTTTCGATCGTACCGGTGATAAGCCAGTAGCGACTTATCCTAGTGGTGGGGTTGCCACCTGGCGCCATCTAGGAGTGACGAAAATTCTATTGATGGGTCCATAGTAACGTGGACGGGGGGTGTGCGGGTCCGGGGAGCCGAAATTTGTTACTAATGTTAAGTGAGCGATAGAGCATAGAAGTGGTGGAGATTCGGAAAAAGAGACCGTATCTTTTTCTCGGGGAGCCTGGGGCTCGACTTGAACCCGGGCCTTCCGGACCGGAGGCCAGCGCTCTACCTGCTGGGCCACCGGGGGGACCCCAATCGGATTAATCAAATTTTTATTAAGAAAGGAAGTCATATAAATTATTAGGAAGTGTACTTAAAATTGTTGAAAAATTTTCCAACATGTATTTCGAATTTTCGGCCAGTATGCACATTTACTTATTTCATATGAAATTAAAATTCTTTATTTAATTTAAAGTTAATCAAAACGTTTACGAAAACTATATTGTTATTTTTTTGTTAATATGTATTCCAGCAATATAAATACATTTATTCAAAAACCTAATATAATTATTTTATAGTTTTTTTTTTAAATAATTTCAATGCACATATACTTCTTTCCCTGAGGTATCATGTGTACAGCCTCGAACGAATAATGTCAGCTTACAATTTTTTACTATCTATATACAGTAGTGGACACGAGTTTAGCACACTATGCAATCCCCATTTTTGAACTCCAATTTCACCTTTCCCCGGAGATTTTTCGAGGATTTTTTTTACGTACGTTTGCTCTATTAATAGGAGAACATGCACCGTTAATTTTGTCCCAATCGCTTTTACCGTT